GGGGGGGGGTTGTTGTGTAAAAAGTGTGTATGCGTGTGTGTGTACGAGTATAAAGCTGTTTCCAAGACATGAACTCTGAAAAAAGTCGGGGAAATCAGGTCCAGACATTTTCCAGGAGATCGTCCAGGTTAGACGCTTTCACAACAACAGGGAAATGTCGGGAACACTCAGCTCCCCCCATTCGCTGCCTCTCGCTGTTTGTTCACCTCAAGATCGCCGCTCTTCTTGTCTGTACGAGTTGTCATCTTCATCTGCGTCATCTTTATCTAGATTTTTCGGTATTCTTCCAGTTTTGCTTCTGTCACATGTTAGAAATATCATCCACTCGCCCACTGTCAATCTTTAGAAATTCTAGAAATTAGAAATTGAAAGGGGGCTAGCAGCTAAGTTCTAGAAAAAGTTCGGAGCAACTGACTCCGAAATACACGTTCTCACATGCAGCCCCTCCAGAAGATTTCAGGACAATGTGCGGACTTCACCGAATGTCTGAAAGCAGTGAGACACCTGGGAAATCACAGCGAGACAAGTGTGTCTGTAACTGTGCGTTCTATAGGTATACGTCCACATAAAACTTCCTGTGTGTGACCATCCTGCTCTCTCTCTCTCTTCTCATTAAAGCTCAGCTCAGCCAAGAAGAGCTGAGTCAGCAAACTCCCCCGGCCTCGTCCCCCGAGGACACCGCCGAAGACGAACCCCCAACCCCAAGTGCTTTCACAGCCCATGCGGTTGTTATTACAGTGCATGGTAATCAGTTCCGCTGCAGTGAGCTCCGTGAATGTGTTCTAGCCTCCAAATCCTGAGCCGATCTGAAGATACTGAAAGGTAGACATCATCGCTGTGGAGGAAAGGGTGTGGCTGTAAATGAAATAGCTTTTATTTCTAATTTTCCCTTTATCTGAGAAGTGACCGAGCTAATCATCAGTTTGAGTTTTGGTTAATCGATGTAAGTGGATGCGTTGGACGTGGAGGGCAGAGCTGTGACGGACAGACGCTCCCTCTGGACTCCACGTTGTTCCTGTTGGAGGTCTTGTTGAGTGAGTTGTTGTCTGTGAGCTATGAAACAGCCCCGAGTCAAAGCTAATTGCTGAAGCGTGTTGACAAGATCGGCCCTGACCCTGCCACAGGAGAACTGCTGCCACCCATCATCATTACACACACACCACAGATACACACCACAGACACACACACTAAGAGGTGACATCCAATCAGCTGTGTTGCTCCTCAGAGATATGTACACTGAAAAGTGGGTGTTGATTGGTTTGTGAAACTGTGTCAACCTTCGTGTTAATGACTAATAACATATTTGACAGTTTTCAGGTTGTTCATCCATCCGTACGTTGATTAATCTCTTAAGAATGCCGAAGGTCGAGATCGCAGCTACCTAACAAATCACGTTTTGTGATCTTGTGAACGAAAAAAGTCAGGAACGACTCGGGGGGGAACTTCTTCAAACTTGGTAAAAACGTTCACTTGGAACCGAAGATGAAGAGATTCAATTTTGGTGGTTAAAGGTCAAAGGTCACAACATGTTTCTGTGACCTCATATTAGTATTATACAATTTTATTTTTCTGACAAAAATCCTAAAGGAAAAGAAAAACAAGCCAAGTCTTTAATCAGAGCTGTCATTGTGATGTACGTAGATCAATTAAATGATTAATGATTTAAAGTAGTTATGTTTTAAATCAAAATAACACTATTCATTTATTTTGTTTTTTTTAATCAAAACCTGCCGATAAACACACATGTTGTGCAGTGTGTGTGCATGTGTGTGTGTGTGTGTGTGTGTGTGTGTGTGTGAGATAAATCTCTCCTCTCGCTTTATATCAACTGTGGTCGGATTTCATGCACACACACACACACACACACATGCATCCCCTAAACCAAAAGCGAAAAAAGAAACAATAATTGAAAAGTAAATTACAATGGAAAGTGTGAGTCTGTCCACTTTACAGCAGTCACAGCTCATAAATCATCATCATCATAACTCTGGTTAGAACAATACGCTGGCAGCCAGGCCAGCGAGCCGGGGGAACCAGAGGTCTCTCAAAAGGGGAATTAATCCCTGGAGGTGTGTGTGTGTGTGTGTTGTCTTTAGCGAGACACAGTCGTTGCTTGTGCCGCATCAGCAATCGTCCGGTCTTATTTCATCAGAAATCCCTGAGCTTACTCAGAACGGCCGTCCAAAAATGACACTCGCCAGAGTTCTGGCTCCCAACTCCGAAAGATAAATCTTTCCAAGCTGCTGCATCCATCTATGGAGCGTTTGATTTATTCCCTCGTCACGTGAAATAACGTCAAGTCGTTATAATTTCACGCAGAATTATAGCGCGTCAATAGACCACATTTTCCCTCGTGTCACTGCGCTCTGTTTGTGTTGTTTCGTATGATTAATTAACTGTAAACCGTATATATCAATAAAAGCAGACACACTAAATGAAAGAAGGCAGGAGTGATCATTTGAACAGAAGTGGGACATTCACTCGTCGTACACTAGAAATAACACAAGAGAGACTGGAGCCACATGTGAGTCATGTCTGTTGACGTTTTTCTAGATTAATAGGCTGCAAGTAACTGTTATTTTCATCACCTTTTATTTTGTCAATTAACTCGTTTATCAAATATCTGGAATACTGAAAGTGACTGTTTATTTAAATGTTAGAAATGTTGAATGGCCATATATAAAATCCAAAGACCCTAAACTTGCTGAACGATTCTCTTTCACTTGTATTAAGATCAAATGAATTTAACTTTTTTAATCAATTAAATTAAATTTTTAAATTAAAACTCTGGCTCTGATTGTAATTTGTGGAGTTTTTCCTTCTCTGCGTCGGGAGCCTCGGGCTTGATTGAGAACCAC